TGGTGGGCACCTGGCATCTGGCCAGGGTGAACCCACCTCAACTCCTCAGTGTGCACATTTCTCTCTAGACTCCTCCGTGTCACCCCATCAGCACTAGCGAGCCCTGCAGCTCCCCAACCTCTCCCACGGCCACACCAGGGTATGCTACTGCAGCCCAGCACTTGCTGCTCTGCGGGACAAACCACGCCAGCCCAGCGCCTCTAACCTTGTTCTTGTGGCCGCTGATCAGCCGGATGCTTGTGCTCTCCGTCCAGTTGACATACCACAGCGTTCCTGCCGTGGTGCCCACAATTCCCATTTCTAGAGAGTCATCAAAGGCTGCGCTGACTATTGTCCCGTCGAGGGCCATCTCATGCTCTAGCAGGACCGAGCTAGACCTGGAGGAAAGGAGGATGCAAGAAGGACTGGCTCAGCTGTTGGAACAGCCACTCTGCCTCCTTTAAATGCCATTTTCTGATGAGCCCAGCCCTGTATTTGCAGCTAAATGGTTCAACGAGGGGTTCGTGTGCACTGAACAGCGACTACTATTGAATTTGCACTGCAACCATCTTTTATAGGAAAGAAAGAAAACAGAGGATGCAATAGCATGAGAGAAGAAACAAAGGCAATGTATTTTCACAAATTCTCTTAAAGGAGTTCCTACAAATCACTGACACAAACTTCAGGCATGATAAACTCCACCCATTTCCAGTATTAAGACAGTTCATCTACCTGTGGCAAAAGTTCAGCAAAAAGATCCAGACAGAAAGACTCAGTAGTCACGGGATGGAGAGGAAAAGCTAAGGATGAAGAGCAACCAGAGCAGCGTGGTTGCAGGCAGAGCAGATGTCTGTCCATGAAAAGCCACCTCTCAGACAGGTCCTGCCAGAGGAGGGGAAGGGCACCTCAAGAGCACGGCGAGACGGGCGTGAGCACAGTGGGGATGCCGGGGCCATGGCCTCCTACCTGGCAGCGGGACCTTTCAGCCTCAGCTCCTGCACGGCGGCCACTGCCCACAGGCGGATGCGTTTCATGTTGCTGCCGCTCAGCAGCCTGTTGCGCCGACACACCAGCACACCTGGGAGGCCACGGGGGAACAAAGGGCACCCGTGAGTATCCACCATCACCCAAGGTGTGCTCCTGACAGCCAGGCCACTGATTCATTCAGGTAGGGCAGTGGGGGTCTTCTACAGCCCCACACCCAGCATTTTTATAGACTAGAGGTGAACCCCCCCCCGGAAACCCAGGACTCTGAGGAAACCCAGGTCACAGGTCCACTGCCACCCCACGCATCTCGCGTCCAACACTGGTTTTCCAAGCGCAGCTGAAATCGGAGGTCTGCAAGCTCCTCGCTTTTCTTTCCTAACGAGTTCCCTGTTACAGCCCTGAGAGACGCCCGGGGCTTCTGCACCCACCAATCTCGCCCTCGTCAGCCTCCCACGTCATGAAACAGCAATTAGTCTCAGTGTCCCACACGCAGATCTGGCCTGAGTTGGTCCCACTATAAAGAAGAGTGTCAGCACCATAACAGAGAGAGGTCAGCTCCACCAGCCCTAACACATCCGGGACAGGGGCTCGATGAACCTGCCGGAGCACAGAAAACAGAAACATCAAAGGGAATCTGGTGCTTCCTTACATTGGGAAGAGCCAACCCCCTCCTCCAGCCCTCAGTTTGTGCAGTTAATGCCTCAAATACAACTGAAAGCCACTCTCGGCCAGCCAACATCACCTCACGAAGAGAAATCATCAGCTTTTGCAGACCTGTGGGGGCAAAGCCTCCATCACACTCACCAGGGGCTTGGAAAAGAAGTCAGAGATGCTGAACAGAAGTTTTAAAAGAAGGTGAAACTGAGGTTTACCTTGAGGTTGACATCAGCTCCTTGCTGCTCCAACAGCCAAAACATCACGGTTCCCTTCCCCACACAGGCCAGTTCTCTGTGAGAAACAGGACTAAAAGCCACATCGTGGACTGGCTCCGAGATACACGTCGAGAACATGAGTTCATAAGTGTAGGTGCTCCACAAAGCAATGGTTTGATCACTGTAGTCCCCTAGGGAGAACATGAAAGACAGTAGGAGGAAATTCTACAGCCTCAGGGTGCTTGCAAGCACTGCACACACGCATCAATTGTGTCACTTCTTCGTCCAGTTGTGTGGAGACAACTGCTGCCAACGCCATCCCAGGCACGGACACAGCTCCTTGCGTGCTCAGCAAAAGCTGCACGACATGATGGGGCCTCATCCAAGCTGAGGACAGACACAACTGGCCCAACGCTTCATGCTGGAGGTTGGAGCAAATCTGGCCCTGCAGCGGGGTTCGCAGCCAGCACTCGGGGCAGCTGGTAACTGGCATGGCAGGGATTTCATCAGGCAGAGTGGGTTTTCTGCTGTTTCGCCATCCTTAGGAGCTACTGCACACCTCCACGTGTGCCCCACACAAGCCCTCCAGTGATGCTGTGCACTCAGGGCTAACCACAGTCTTGAAACAAGGATGGGACGTGACCTTTGCTGAGGTCAAAGCTGAGATGGGAGCCAACCTTAATGGAAGGCACCGTACGCGGGCACTGGCCTTGGTGATGGCAAACGTGCCCAGCTCCCAGACAGCTCCAGAGGACAGTGCTCTCCTGCTGCCTTTGCCGGGCTTTCCAAGCTCAGTGGAGCCTGTCAGCTTTTCTCTTCTCTGCAGCCCAGACCGGAGCTGGAGGAGGAGGGCTCCTCTCCCACGCTGCTCTGTGGAGAGCACAAAGCTCTCTTTCTCTCCAGCAAAGCTTGCTTTTTTCCAAGGGCAGACTCATCAGCCCAGAGAGAGGGTATCGCCTGCTCCACAGGTCCTCTCCCATGCAAAACAAGAACTTACTAATTGCATATTTGTCCTTTAAATGTCCCCTGCCTAAACAAAACAGACAGCTTGAGCGTCCATCTTGCGCTGGCATCGCTGCCTGGCAGGAGGCTCACAGTTTGAAACCCAGCTACTTCTATGCAATTCCACCTAAGCCGCAGCAAGAAGTCCAGAAGAAGGCTTTTCCCTTTGGACACTATATATAGTAACTGCAAACCATTGACACAGGTTTAACAAGCATAACTGAGCCAGGAGCAGAAAGCTGTAACTTCAACCATAACGAGCTAGCTGGGGCAATGAGAAAGAGCTAAAGGGGAGCTGGGGGGGGAGCCCAGCATAGCTGCCTGTGGCCGAGATACACAGGCTGTGTGCTTCCCCTCGAAACACTGCTGACAGCACCCTGGCAGCACGCTCAGCTGCAAAGAGAAGCTCTGCAGGCAGTCACTCCCAGAGGACCCAAGATCACTCGCCATTTCACACGCTGCATTATCCATTGTCCCAAGGCTACCAAGCAACAGCTTCATATCCATAAGCTTGGTACGCACCTCGCAGGTGTTGCACCCTTACAGCATCTTTGCCTCCCATCAGCTGTCTACTCTAGGGTGTACTCCTGCACCCACACCTGGTGTTAGGGGTGTACTCACCGAGGGTAACGAGGAATCTATCATCCCGAGAGAATGCCATGGCTTGTACTTGTGTCTCGTGATGGAAGAGACTTGCTGTGCAAACCCCATCCTGGACGTTCCAGATGCAGATCTGACACTGGGAGTCTCCGTTCCTCTTTCCTGAGGCAGAGGCAAGAACCTAACAGAACAACATGTCGTCACTGAAACCTTGGTAAGTAAGTAGAGAATTAGCTACTTAGTCTTAGCAACTATTAGCCTCAAATTAAAGTGATGTGGTCGGCAAATGGAAAATGCTACGAGAATAACCATCAGCTGACAGCAGAAGGGAATGGTGGCATCACCCAGAGGGATGGAGCAGCCCCTACTGTCACGCTGAGCCAGCAGAACGGATAGCTAGGCTCCAAAACCATTTATTGTATCTCCCCACCCCCAGGTCTCCGTGCAGCAGGCAGAAGGAACAGACAAATGGGATTTTAGTCCGGAACGCTCCTTTGGCCCAAAGCGGCACAGACACAGCGCAGTGTGGGGCAGCGGAAGCCTCTCCCACCTGGGCATCGTGGCTGATGGCGAGCGTAGAGATCTCCTCTGCGTGGCCAAGCCAGTGATTCTGCGATCCCGAGTGCAGGTCTTCAACCACAATGACACAGCCAGAGGTGTAGGCGAAGAAGCCTAGCAGGGGAGGAGCAAAGGCTTCACGTACAGCACCCACTACAACCTGCATCGCAATGCAGATTTTTTAATTTTTTTTTCAGTCATATGTAAAAACTGACTCTTCTACACAGCTTGTCAGCATCCTTCCCACCAGGATGAGAGCAAACTCTCACTTCCCCTCACCTGAGCAAAGCAAAAGCTGTTGGGCATCCCTCCAGTCTGGAGAAAGGGCCAACGGTGGCCTTTGTGAGAGCTTTCCCTCCTGCTCTGTCCACTCAACAACCAAAGCCTGAGTCTGCCCCTATCAACTAACATTTGCCAATAGCAAAGAAGAAGGGTTGCTGGATTTTTATCAACGCAAAGAACCCCCGGGTTAAAGCAAAGATCCCAACCCAACAGCTATAAGACTATAACTTGGCTCGGTACACACACCTGCCACCCCTCCAGAGCCTTCCCAGTGTACCTGTGTCTGGGTTCCACACCATATTCCCTCTGCCGTTCCCATTGTAGCCGACCACTGCTTTCAGCTTCAAGACCTCACTGCCAGCTGGAGGAGATGAGAAACTCTGCAAGAAAAATAGACTCCGGCTTAACATAAGCTGTAGAAGGATGGCCCAGGCAGGTACATCCAACACCCATATAAGAAAAAGCGTGCGTGCAAGCACCCACACGTCCTCACACACACCCCACATGAATTCAGGCCAATACTCATACGATTCAAGCTCAACACATCAACAGGCGAATACCAAAGCACACACTTACACATACAGAAGAGAAAACCAGGCACAGATGCTTTCAGATGGGGCATAAAACAGGCTGGCAGCAACTGCTCAGCCGATAAGCAGCTGGCTAATTCTGCTGGTAAAGAGTTCAGTGGGTTTTTCTGACTTGGGGATGTAGATGTTTCAATAGAAAGACAGTGGGGGGGGAAAAAGCGCTACCAGGTGGAGGGACAGAGGAGAGACTTGAGGGTGCAAGCTTAATGTAGCTTTTTTCCCAGCACCATGAACAGCAGAGCTTAGGAAAAGGTTGAGTTAAGTTTCTGTTTTATTATTGCTCTGTTTGTTAACAGAGCGAGAGCTGTGCCTTGACTATCTTCACTACGCTCGATGGATTGCCTTCCCCAGCCTGCTCTGCCAACGCATCTGCTCACAAATGCGGGCGCATGATGAATCACTCCATTGCTCACTCGTCTTTCACTTTCAATAGCACATGCCATTTCCATTTCTTTTGAATACCAATGTATGCAGATTTGCTGAACAGAAAGAGTTGATCACAACTCACTTTTTACTAGTCTGGAAAGAGCTGCATGTAGAGGAGAAAGGGGAACTCATGTTAGGAGTTTCTAATTGAACATCAGGCCCACTGGTATATTGCACAAATTGCTTTCAAACAGAGAACAAAACGGAAACAATTTGGAAAATCCACCTACCCCAGCCCCAAATGCCAGTTCGCCACCTGCCCAGGTAACCAGCCCTGGCACAACTCTCACCTGGGGCAGCACCGATGCCTTAAAGCGAGGAGTGAAATGCCGGTAGGAATCTGGGCGGACGGAGCATCGGGACTTGGGGCTTTTGGTCTCCTTTCTGGGTTCTGCCACACAAAGAAGAGGACAGTGCCTAGGGGATGCTGCTCCTGGGAAGGGTTTGGGAGCAGCAGCTAGGCTGTGGCTTGCTGTCCGTTCAGATGCTGCGTATGTGCATGCACACACACACACACAGACAGAGCAAAAATCAGACTGCAGCGTCACATGTGCTCCTACACAGCTGGCCACGGGAAAAGCACCAGCTTTCCAGGAGCAAAGGAGGAACATCCATCACCCGCCATCGTCCTGCTCAGCCACACCACCCTGTGAACAGCCTAAGGGCATCCACGCTTCGTGCCCTGGGCATCGCTGCGAAAGCATAAGCCGCACAGCTAGAAAGAGGTCTTTAACGAGAGCGATGGAGGCAGAGTTTTATGCCGAAGCCTTCCAACAACTCCTGCCTGGGGCTGAGCGCTGGCAGCTGCCTGCTTCTGGCAGCTCGCCACCAACTGCTGCAGCTTTGAGGCTGTGCATCTATTAATAGAGACATTGGGAGCTTTAATTTCAGCTGGGTTTAATAGAACGTGCCACTTAGAGATGACACTGGCTCCCAGCTCAA